ATTGTAGGTTATCGGCCACTAGGAGTTGAATGGTGGAAGTTTCATGACATAAAACCCTTCAGCTGACCCCTAAAAATAGATTCCAACATGCCGTTGTCCACATACTTTTGGTACGCACTGTATGCTACCACGATGCGCTCCCTCTTTATGGCAGTCGCTTCCTTCAAGCATTTAATATGTATTCGTATTGCAAGAAGAGCCATCCCAGTCAAAGCTAATGCTGATGTCAGCAAAATTCAAAGGTGGGGCGGCTCCATATAAAAAGCATTTCCGGGGTGGTATAAATCTGGATTTTGTTAGGCCCTTTTTGTGCACCTACTTAACTTCGTTAGTAGTGCGCCTTCTGCCGCGAAAACGCCCCACAACCTATTCCAGGACCATACTCTTCCCACATCCACTAACCATTTTTCTCCATTGAACATGAATTTCTATCGCAAGGTTTGCCTTCAAGCCCACGCGAAATTGACCTTTGCTACGACGCTATTCTAGAAACAAATTTCTAAGATAAAAAATCTCACCGTCTCCAATAACAAGCTCTACTTCGGCGCCATTGTCAACAGCGACTGTTCTTGGGAGAGACACTGAAAATTAATAAAATCTAATAATTGTTCATTAAGATCAAAGTTTTTAACATTGCAAGGTGCTCCTTTCTCGCCGACATTAGTTCACTACGGTGAGACTCCAATTTGGGGGAGGGCTTTCCCTGTTATCTTACCCGTAGTATTAGAGAGCGTTCCTTTGAGCTTCAACACTGTGGACGAGATATAAAGTAAACGATCTTTTATGTGTTTTTTTATAAGGACCGGGATACCCTACATCACACACATCCTGCTCACATCCGGGCAATTTATAGCATGTGATCGTCCGTCCTGGAGCACCGATACCCTTGGACCTAGGCAAAGATGTCCATACCCTAGTTCAGGACCGTTTCCTTGGACGAGGTCAGGCCAAAATCTGAAAGTACCTTGGGAGTAGTTCCACACTGCAACGGTACCTGTCAGAATATTTCAAATGAATCGGTAACTTATCGTGAAAATTCTTATTCTTATCCTTTGTACTGAAGACTACATCAGAGTGGCCTCCCAAACTGGAGTTCACTGTTCAGTGCTCTGATCATTATTTTTCTTTTACCGCACTTTGCAGCACAAAAGAACGTTTACTGTGAAAGTCTTCCAAAATAATCCTGGAAGAGGATAACATTCACCACGAAATCTTGATACGAGGCTCGAAGAGGATTCCAGCCTACCTCAAGATTCGGCCCACCACTGAGTACGTGGGCCAGCAAAGTTTCAGGATGTACCGAAGGCGTCATCTCAGGAGTTATTTTTGGGCATTTGAA